TCATATTGTGCACATTTGGCTGTAATGCATATATTTAGTATACCCTTATCAGACTATATGTCGTGATGGGTATATTGGGCTTCATGTATTTATTCCTCATCATCACTTTGTTGGCATTCCACTCTCTTGCATAATAATAATAATAATAATAAATATTAAATCTTATAATAAACATTAATTAACTTTTTGGAAAAGGCATGAAGGCAAAATCTTCTAATCATACAAGTTACATGTAAATAATTCAAATTAATCTCTTCAGATAAGTGATGTTAATTAAAAACTATGTGAAGAAGAGATGATTGCTGTCAAATTGTTACTGTAGACTCTTAAATCAACAATTCTAACAGAGATAATACAGACGTACAAAACTTCATCTGATGATTTGGGATAAACAGAATACATAACTGGAGTTCATATACAGACATATATCTGCACATGATTATATTATTATTCGATACAAGTTTATGAATGCATAAAGATTTACACATACATATTCACATTATTACACACTGCCATAAGATGATTTATTCTATGAGAGAGCACTCACACACATTTCAGATTTATTCATTCACAAGGACGATGCAATTATGACAAACATATATTTACACTATCAAATTTTATTATCAAAATTATTATTTTCACAATAAAATTGCTATTGACCAAATGATTTTTAATCTTTCAGGATATACTTATGATGTATATATCAGTTTATAATGTCTGGTTTTTGTAAGAAATGTAACTTAATTGCTGGCATGGGGTTTTATTATGCAAGTAGAGAGATACTCATTGTAAATAAATATATATAATAGTATCGTAATTGATATTTATTTTTAATTTCAGATATGGGTCATAAAATAAAAAGCCTAAAAAGAGAAAATAAGAACAGTAATAAAATACAAGCTTTAATGGTAATATTAGCCGTTTCCCTACAAGGAAACATTTGTCATTCATTGACTGAGCAGCCAGTAACACTTTCAGTTCAAGTTTATAAAATTGTTCTCTTAAAACAATTTTTCAGTAGTTTCTTTCCTAACTTTTTATTTGAAGTAGTGTGGAATGTCAACATCTTGAATATGTCATTATTTTCTTTTGAGGTTATGTGCAATCTATTTTAGTTGTTGCTGCTGTTGGCAGTCCTTAAGTGATGTGGTTTCTGTTATTTGGTACAGTTTTTTCTTTGTGATTATGTGACACTAATCCACAATGTTCAAAGAAAGATGGTCTTTGCCAAGACCTTCAAGCTTCACTAGCTCAAACCTTTTTTTTTTTTTTTAACTATTGAAAGCGGTCAAATACAGCTGACAGTTTAAATGTTTTTGAACATGTTTCGTGCTATGCATGACATTCATATGAAAGCTACAAAGCTATTTAATAACATAGCTCGAGTTTTCCAGTTGATGTTTTGGTTTTGTAGTAACTTGTGGTATTGGGCAATATTACATCTGGTGCAGACTATTCTATGTTCAGTTTCTTTTATCCTATACTAAATTTGCTATAACTGATCCATATGCTGAGGTATTTTGAAGTGTTTAATATTTACTAATCCCATAATTTTTATGATGAATTCAGGGTATCAGTGCCATCACTGCTTTCATTCCAATTCCAGATCACAGTTTCTGTTTTGGAAACATTTTATCTTGAGTCCTATTTCTTGAAATACTTAGTAAAGAATGTTGATTTTCTGTTAAAAAGAAAATGCCAACTAAGAATACCTATGTCATCAGCATAGCTCCCCTCCCCCTCTTCCCCCATTGACTTCAGGAGGGAAAGAAGGATTGTTTTATTTCTATTGGTAGATTTGTTTGGAATGTGGATGCTTAATCCATTTCTTCACATCTGCCACAAAAACAGATTTGAAAAGAATGAAAAGTAAAGTAAATTAACCAATAAGAAAATATGTGAAGTCACTGTTGTTGTAAATGGAGAGGAAAGATGCAAAATATTATGAACATTGGTTAAAGACAATTAAATACAATTAAACTACTACCTTTAAGTACACATCAGAAAGAGAAAGTTGCTAAGTTAGCAAAGAAGTATGGAAAAACGGATTCCTAAACAGTAATTTTTAGTGATGAATGAAGAGCTACATTGGATGGTTGGGCCCTTCATGGAAATAGTCAACCAACATGACAACAGGGAAGGGGAAATTTGAGTAATATTTTAGTTTAGTATTATAAACAATAAAAGTTGATGATAAATGCAAAGAATTATTGTAAGCTCTTGGACAAGATGATTTTTGAGTGGTACCAACTTGAACAAAATTGTTAAGCTAAATAGTACATTCATATGTGACAATGCTCCTTCAAATTCTTCAAAGCTAATTATTACTGACTTTGTCTCCATCCCCACAAAAGACCTTCAATTAAAGGAATGCCCACCTCCCAGCCTCTCTAAATATTAACCCAATAGAAAATTTGTGATCGATCATTAAAAGAGATGTATATGAGAATGAAAAACTATATTCAAGCAAAGAAGGGCTCTGGGAAGCAATACAAAATGTTGCAAGTAATGTGACCCTAGCTTTACCAATAGAAAACTTGTGACCCAGAATTAAATGAGATATAAGGGTATAAGAATGGAAAACAATATTTAAGCAAAGAAGATCTCCAGAAAAATTGCTGAAAGTAATGCTAAAGTTAAAATAGCAGAAAATCAATGGTTGAAAGACTGATGAAGGTAGAATATCAAAGAATTTTTGGATTTATTTATAAAAGTTGCAACTTGTTTGTATAAATAAAACTTTACTCCCAAAATAAGTTATCAATATTTTTAAAAAGAATAAATTCCAATAAATAGGTTGTGAGAGTTGTGCATGCACACACACACACACACACACACACACACACACTGCAATATAATAAACATCAACCTCCTTACCCACCTTAAAAAAACACAATTTATACATAACAGAAACAATGATTTGCATAGATGTTCTGGATAGCTTAAAAATTCTTCTTCTTAAGCAAAAATGATTTTTTTTTTTCATCATTAATTTTATTGAACAACATAATGACCATTTTGTGCCATATTTCAGATAACTTTCTTCAGTCTGTCTTTCCTGGAATTTTTATCTTTCACATCAAACAATTACTCTTAGTACCTTTTGATTTTTTTTCTTTTCATTAAGACATTTCTGTAAAGATTAGAATAGATGTTAATCTGAAATTGAACAATGCAGATGGGTGAAGTTTTCCCAGCCAAGAAGTAATAATTTCTACCTCGTCACCAGAGAAATACGTAGTTTAATATTATCTTGATGAAATATTATGCCCTTTCTCTTCTCTACCTCTAGACATTTTTTATCAACTGCTGCAGTAGGAACAGAGTCAAGGACTCCCTTTTAATCCCTTCACTTATATAGCATCAACTTCTTTGACTAAAGAATGGCCTTTGATAGAGTTGGGCATTCAGTTTGTTTGCTCTATGATCTTTGGGGTTCCAGTTATAAAGCATCCAATTTTTTATCACCTGTCACAATGTGCCTAAAGCACTGAACATTTTTGTTACATTTAAATAGTAATTGGTTGTTACCAGCCTCAGCTGATCTTCACAATTATAGAGCATTGTTTGGTAAGAAATCTTCAGTATAAGACATTGCAAACCACTTTTGACACATTTCATCATTGATAATATCAACTTCATTAATTGTACAATTATTTTTCATGTCTGAGTTGCATTTTTACCTTCCTTGAAATAAAAAGCAAAAAGATGCCAAAAATCTTGCCTATCTTCAGTATTAGAATCAATAAATAAAAATACACCAATTTTGATATCTAAAAAAATTATCCTGATATGACAGCTACCACAATCAAAAGTGATTTTTTTTTAATGAAGGTGGTGCAAACTAAATGTTCCTAATGCCATCAAATGACAAAAGCAGAATAAAGTCTCTTTGTTACACTATTCAATATATAGTCATGTATACACAAATGTTTTCATATACAGGAGCATAGTAACACAGGGACTCAAACAAACCTAAAGATGAAATTCACATTCATACATATTTATAATCACTGTTATACAATAATTCAATAACAATTTTAAGAACACCAGTATAAAACATGAACACACTCATTTGTATGCATGCTTTATTCATCGTAAGTGCGGAGTGGCATAATGGTTACCAGCATGGAAAACAAAATCAGCAAACAGAGTTCAAATTCTAGCTGAAGCTGTTTATGTTAAATTTGCCACATATCTTTGGAAAAGGTGTGAATCCATTTTTACCTAAAATAAACAAATATCAGAATAGTTAGAGCCCTGTAGACTGATACAAGAGTTTACTTTTTGTGCTGGAAGTGGAGTAAATGTTTCTCCTTATTTTAGATGGGAGAACTTGCCCAGTGCAGGGATTCCACCTTCCACATTGCAGTAAGAGAGGTAGAGTCAGTGTAATATTGATGTCAGCATGACAGTGGTCAGGGAGACTGGGCAAAACATTTTTGTCCTTGGACCATATGTATACATATGTGTATGGTGCTCTCCACATTAAAATGACCTTATGTCACATCCTGCCTTAGTGGGGAGGCTGAGTAAATATATCTGTAAGGCAGTCCAAAAAATGCAAGGTTACTCTGACAGAAAAAAAAAATCTACAGCTTGACAGTTGCCACAGCCAGTCGCAAGCCTGGTTAAGAAATGGGGAGTGCTGGGCATTGGGCCAGCATCCCAGCCACATGAAAGAAGAAATAAACAAATAAACCCTACAATTGTTCAATGAACAAATCCTATATGTTTCAAAATGGAGACAAACATTGTCCAATATGCCTTGTCACATGGCAGAACCTGTTATATTATTATTATTATTTATTCATCATAAACATACAAACACATATATTTATGCACTTTAACATCCTCATTTAGACACATGCATACACTCTCTCTCTCTCTCTCTCTATTTGTCTTTCTCTGTTTTTCACTCACTCACATAAAATCTTTGACACAAATTGCCTTGTAATATTTTTAGACTGGTTTTTCCTATTCTACTTTTTACTTTTCAGCTTCCTTCCTTCCTTTGTCCACCCACCCACTTCTTTGCTTCCATTTCCGTATTTCTGTCTTTTATCCTTCATTCCTTTCTAACTTCCTTTCATACCATTCTTTCTTTTACTCTGGCTTACTCCCTCCCTCCCCCTTTCTTCATTTCTTTTGTTCACATTTCCATTCCCTTTTTTTTTCCTTCCTGTTTCTATGGCTACATTCCTAGCTGATCTTTTTTTTTTCTTCTTTTCATTCTTTTCTATGACTTTTCATTCATCCACTCTTCAGTTCCTTCTCCTTCCTTTCCTTCATCTTTTTCTTCCATCCCCACTACCCTGCTTCTGTTTTCTCCCCCATTTGTGTTCTTCCATTTTTAATCTTGTCTTCATTAGATCATTTCTTCTTCCCCACCTACTATCCCCCCTCCCCACACCCGATGTTTTTCTTTTCTTCCTACTTTTGTCTATGCATTCCTATTCAATCTTTTGGGGATTTTATTTTCTGCATTATTTTCTTTCATTAATTCCATTTCAACCTTTTTCTCTCGTCGCTCTTAGTCATTCAGTTGTTCTTACTTCCTTCTTTTTTTTTATTTCCCACTTTCTTTCTTTTTTTTTTTTTCCATTATATTTTTTGTCCATTTTCTTCAACCTTCACTTATTCCTCCTGCTTTTATTCTCTTTTCTTTTCTATTTCATGTCTTTTCTTTCTCTACTTATACATGATGTTATGTTTTTTTATTTCTTTTGTGAAATCCCCTGCCTCTTCTTTCTTCAGCCTCTTTCTCTTTTTATCTTTACATTTTTATATCTTATAATTTTCTTTAATTTTTAAAAAAAATTTCATCCTATTTTTCATTCTTTCAATTTAAAAATTGTTTTTCACTTTTCTTACATTTGTAGTTTTTCCAACTTCAACAATTCTTTGTTATATTTTTCTTTTGATCTTTCCATTCATTCTTTCAGTAATCCGTTACAATTCTTTTCTTTTTGTTTAACATTTATCCCATTATTTTTTTTTTGTTGTTTAATCTCTATTCCTCCTGTCTTCTTTTCATTCCACTTATTTGCTTCCAAATTTAGTCTTCTTCCTGGCTCAATTTTTTTCCTTTTTCCTCTTATTTATCCATGTCCAACTTTCTATCTTTTTTTGTTCCTCAACTCATTAATTTTTTCCTTGCTTTTTATCTATATTATTATTATTATTATTTTATTTTATTTTTTCCATCCTTTCTACACTTTTTATGCTTGCCTCCATTTCAGTCCAGTTTTTCTTTCTTTTTAGAATATCTTCTAAGCTCCCTTTTGGCTTTTTTCTTTCCTTGGACTTTCTCACTTTCTGACCTTCCCTTTCTTCCATATGTTCTTTTCTATTTCCTTATATTTTCCTTTCATTCCTACATTACTTTGTCTTTTTTCCTGTTTATTTCTTTCAAATCTGTTCCCTTTGCTCCATAATATTTCTTCCTCCTTTTCTCCTAATTCCTTTTATGTCTTCTTTCCTTTTAGCTTCTCATTTCAATTCAACTTGTTTTTTCTTTTATTCCATTTTCCTTCATTTACATTTTTCTCTTTCATTTTTATTCTCGTTCTCTCTTGATTTTTTTTATTTTTGTTCTTTCTTACATATATTTTTTTTGTAATTTTTATCCTCTTTTCTTTATTTTTATGCCTTCTTCTGCATCATTTTTCATCTTCTTTTTTCCATTCTTTCTTTTTATATTTTTTCATTCAATCTCTACACGTTTTCTTTTCCCCACCTTTCATCTTCCTTCTTTAATCACTTCTCCTTATAGAACATGAGGAGGTGCTGAAAACCAAGTCCACTTCCCAAAATCACAATTCAGATGTTTTGTCATTAAAATATTAATTTAGAGAAGTAGGTTGTGCTGAGAACTTTTCAGTAACCCCTCATATATATGATATCTTTTTTTATTAGAAAGATCTATATTTCTTAATTGTGTGCAGGTACACACAGGTATTAATAAGTGTTAAGAAAGAAACAGAATATTTAGACTATATAAATAAGCAGGAGCCATTCGCTTGTTGCCAAACTTGCAAAGTGTGTATTCTAGAAACAAAAATCTTGTGGATTTTGAAAATGGACTTATGATTCATCTTTTTAACTAACAAAGTTGAAGTGCTATATTGAAATCAATGTATAAATTGCTATTTTTTGGTAATAATTTTGCTATGACAATGATGATGAATCCTGTATATAAACAAATAATAAACCAAGTTGAGCCAAGTTTACCACTAGAGCCTGTATAATATCTGCTTATGTTTATACTGCCTACATTATAAGCAAATAAAAAAAGTTACTGAATAAAAAATGTCACAATATATTTTAACTAAAGAAGAGGACTTTGAAACATTGATATTATGAGTGGTTAATGTTAATAAGGTTTTTAAATCACTTTATTTGACACCTATGAAATATGGATCATTATCTGACTCAGTGTAGAGATCTATGGTTATAATAGAACAACAGGAAATTGAGGAAAGCTGGGTGATTCAGAACAAAGTGAAGGAGTGAACAAGTCATCTGGAAGAAAAGTTGACAAGAGTGATTCAGATCATGAAAGTATTCAGTATCACCAAAAGGACACAAAGTAGATAACCACACCCAATCAAGTTGGATGCCTTCTATTAGTTTGATGCAAAAATTCTTCAAACCATCTTTTTCAGTATTAAAGAAATCTTAGAATGTCTTTGAAGTTTATTCAGCTCTTTATTGCTTGTATTTGCCTACTATTTAAGAATTGCTGTTTTCACCCTAGGCAATGATCATTGGATCATCAGCAGTTGTAAGAGTTGCAACAGATTAAAAATTCCTTTAAAAATTTCTCAAATTAAAACTGGAATTGTTCTTCAGTAATAGAATACACATCTTATCTGATCATAGAAAGTTAGGAAAATAATTTGACGACAAAATAATGATGTTATGAATTTATATGAAAAAAAAATCTTTCCAAAATGCTGGAAATTTTTTCATTAATCTCATAGTATAAATATGAGATTGTATAGATCTATATAGATATAAATATACAAAGGGTGGTTGAAAAATTCTCAGCCCAGCCCACATCTGAACAAATGACCACACTTTAGCTTTCTTTACATCCTTCAGTTTTGCTTCATAAAATGTCTGTTTACTTCTACTTATAAAATCTTCTATAAAAATTACATCATTAGATTCTATTAAATGAGCAATGTAAAATATTAGAATCAATAATTATCATTCTGTTCATGCAAATACAAATTCATAATGAAGTAAATTATAACAAAAATTACTAAATTGATGTTTGTCGAGAACATAAGAGAAACTAATAAGACAGGAAGGAAACTTTATACAAAATTATGCAAATATTCTATGTCATTTTGTCTTGAATCAAAATGAAACATCTTGTTATTGCCAATTTAAAGAAAATATTCAAAGTAAATTTGGGCCCTTCCGTAACATTTAAAATGTACCAATTAAAAAGTGAATAATCTGTTCTATTTAAAAAATGCTACATTCACAATATTTACAAAGAAATGTTCTAATATTAACTGTGAATTTTTCAGTATCACTTTGTGTGTGTGTGTAATTATTTCACCCCAATGAAGGCAATAAAGCCACTAAGATGCAAGGGGTGACTGAGGGTGAGAGAAAATGAGAAAAAGAAAACATTATTAAGGAGAGAGAACAATAAAAAACTGGAATTAAGAAAACAGAAGTTAATGATAGACATTATATTGAAATTTTTGAAGATCAAAGTTGACTGGAAAGCAAGGTGCTGGAAGATAAATGAGAAGTGCAAGAGAAGAAACTGTTAGCATAGAATTTATGGTTACATTTAGGCATTTCAGTTGTAAAATGATGAGATCTTGCTGCCAATCTAATAGTATGCTTAAATTCATAAAGTACCAAAGAGGAAAGCTCATCCAGACAATTACCATGAAGATATTTATAGAAAAAGCACATTATAATGATGGGAAAATGACTGAAGATGAGATACCAGGTCAGGACTAATAATATTGCATAGTCTTCTTTGTATTTCATGAAGAATCTCTAAATACATAGTAGTCCTGGGTATGATGATAAACTACATCTAGCAGAAATGCTTCTGATTGGAAGATTAGAAGGTTTTGAGGAGTGTGAAACCACCTCTTATTTACTGTTGTACCCAGGTCTACTCTGACCTGGAATGATAACACCTGTTAAGGTCCCAGCTACAGGCAAATAGTGAATGCCCCCCAAAAAAAAATAGTAAAAAAAATTCCAGCAATACATTTTTATAAAAAAAAAAAATTACTAAAAATATTATTTTTGTAGTGAAATTACCTGCAATACATTTTTATGGAAAAAAAATGTTACAAATACATCTTTATAGTAAAATGACCAACAATACATATTTATAGCAAAATGACCAGTAATATATTTTATGGCAGAATTATCAACAATACATTTTATAATAAAATGATTATCAATACAACACTAAAATAGTATAAAAATACATTTTTATAATAAAATTACTAGTAATATCTTTTTAAAAAATATTACCAACAATACATTTTCATCTACAAACTATATATCTAAAAAAACATATATTTACTCTCAAAGTATAAAATATTTGTAGTTGAAGGCATAAAATTGAATTAAGAAATTTAAATTTTGGCATTAAATAATCCATTGAGTTTGATATGCCATTAAACAAAATCAATCAAACCAACTAAATACACAGCAGAAGCACCAGACCAGATATAGTAGCAATACTCAATGCATCAATGAATGGTAGGCTTATAAATGGGTAAGATAGATTCTGGCAAGAAAAACTGTATAGTTTAACACAGTGAACCAACTTTCTTAGCAACAGACCTAGCAATTAATTCAATATAATCTTTCCTCTTTATGTCAACAGAAAACAATAGCCCAAGAAATTATAATGAGTCACTCTTCTCAAGTTCAGCATCAGTCATGCTGATGGAAGGTGAATATATAATATATATATATATATATGTGTGTGTTAGGGCCAGAATAAAGACACAAGAGTGGATTTGAGTTAACAAATATATTTAAAAAAATCTGTAATAATATACAAACGAGCAAGAATATTAAGTCTGAACTGTCAGAGGTGACTGTTGGGAAAAAACTCTTCTGACAAAAGCAGTACCTGCTTTTATTTGTAACTTGGAAGAGTCCATCCGTGTATGGGTAATTTACCATAACTATGTATGTATGCATGTAAGAGAGAGAGAGAAGCCTACATATATACAAATAGATAATTGTTTGTTTTAATATTTGAAAATAATATTTAAAAAAGTACCCAATATTTTATTTAAAGTGCTTTTCATAGTTTAATTAATCAATGAATATTCTAATGTTTCAGTGATGTGATAATTTTGTTATCTACTTAAGTATATAAAATATATTCCAGGAAATAAAAAATTCTGCTTTTTTTTTCAATTTCACAAAATAGTTTGGGTAAAAGGTACATTCTCTTACACATGCAAAAATACATGTGCACACACACACACACACACACACAGTGAATTTGAGCAAATTAAATTATGCCAATTATAAAAATATTTATAAAGGATGTCACGGCGAAAATGCATTGTATTGTGCATCTTTTGTTGGCTTTGTAAAAGCATCATTCCTTCATTATGTTGAAAAATCTGATATTACTTTAAAAAGTAATATTTCAAATGCATTATACAGCTAGACACTTATAAAGTGACTAAACAAAATGCAACTTGATATGTAAAGAGAAAAAAATACTTGTTAATAAAGAACTATTCCAAAACTTGAAAGAGATTAATAACCACAGGAGATTAATTTCTTTTAAATCAGGAGTAGGCATCTTATAGTCCATAAACCAAATCTGGCTTGTAAAGGGATTTTGACCAACCTGGAAGCAAATATGCAGATATATTATTACATTTGTCTATACCATGAACTATTTTACTTTATTCTGAATCTTTCATATGACCATATTGATGGATACTGTACAGCATTTTGTTACATTGGCCCCAGGTTCCATTTTGTTCCAAACCAAACATTGGTCTATGCATTGATTCATCAACTGTTTGTATTAAAATAAGATAATTTTCTGTTTTTATTATTATGCTTAATCTATCACCATTCAAGTCATCATGTTAAAGACTTGTGTCTTTTTAATAAAATCAGAAGATGCCTTGATTGAAATGAATTGTAACTCAATTGAATTCTTTCATTATTAATTGACATCCATGATTAAACACAGATCATTTTCTAGCCTGTGTTCTTCACTGATTTGAGACCAAATATAATTTAATGTGTTTAAATGGTTACTTTATACATGTTTCAACCTTTCATGTGGCAAACCTATTGGCCAATCATAAATACATAATCTGGCTGGCAGAGGCAAAAAGGTTGCTAATTCCTGCTTTAAATGAATGCAAAAAAAATCTGCTCTATATAAAACTGATTTCTGTAGGAAAATATTTGATACATCATTTATAAAATAGCTACTGACCTGTCATGGCAAAAACCATTTCACTACAGAACATCAAGTGAAAATAATGCACAAAATTCATCATGATGATTCTGTTAGTATCACTTTAGATCCCATACATTGC